CCATGCAAGAAGCAATGCAGGGGATTGGTTTAGACCTTGCCAGCAGCAGGGTGAGCCTAGGACAGGATAAAAGACATAAGAACATAAGAGACACCAATGTTGGATCAGGCCAAAGGCCCATCCAGTCCAACACTCTGTGTCACACAGTGGCCAGAAATACCAGTGCCATCAGGAGGTCCAGCAGTGGGGCCAGGACATTAGAAGCCCTCCCACTGTTGACCCCCCCCCCAAGCACCAAGACAGAGCATCACTTGCCCCAGAGCCCCTAGCTATACCTTGTGGCTAATAGCCACTGATGGACCTCTGCTCCATATGCTTATCTAATTCCCTTTTGAAGCCGTCCATGCTTGTAGCACCCACCACTTCCTGTGGCAGTGAATTACATGTGTTAATCACTCTTTGGGTGAAGAAGTACTTCCTTTTATCTGTTCTAACCCGACCGCTCTGCAGTTTCATGGAGTGCCCTCGAGTTCTTGTATTGTGAGAAAGGGAGAAAAGTACCTCTTTCTTTACCTGCTCTTTCCCATGCATAATCTTATAAACCTCGATCATGTCACCCCTCAGTCGTCTTTTCTCCAAGCTAAAGAGCCCTAAGCGCTTTAACCTTTCCTCATAGGGAAAGTGTTCCAACCCTTTTATCATTCGAGTTGCCCTTTTCTGCACTTTTTCCAAAGCTATAATATCCTTTTTAAGGTGTGGTGCCCAGAACTGCACACAGTATTCCAAATGAGGTCTCACCATTGATTTATATAGGGGCATTATTATATTGGCTGATCTGTTTTCAATACCCTTCCTAATAATCCCCAGCATAGCATTGGCCTTCTTTATTGCAGTCACACACTGTCTCGACATTTTCAGTGAGTTATCCACTACAACTCCAAGATCTCTCTCTTGATCAGTCTCTGCCAGTTCAGACCCCATCAATGTGTATTTATATTTAGGATTTTTGACTCCAATGTGCATCACCTTGCACTTGGCCACATTGAACCCCATTTGCCATGTTGACGCCCACTCGCCCATCCTTGACAGATCCCCTTGGAGTGCCTCACAATCCTCACTGGTTTTCACCACCCTGAACAACTTTGTATCATCCGCAAATTTAGCCACTTCACTGCTTACTCCCATCTCCAAATCATTAATGAACAAGTTAAAAAGCAGTGGACCAAGTACTGATCCCTGTGGTACCCCACCGCTTACCACCCTCCACTGAGAAAATTGCCCACCTACACTCACTCTCTGTTTTCTATGAACTAGCCAGTTTTTGATCCATAAAAGGACTTGTCCTTCTATCCCATGATTTTTGAGCTTACTTAGGAGCCTTTGATGAGGAACTTTATCAAAAGCTTTCTGGAAGTCAAGGTAAATAATATCTATTGGATCCCCCTTGTCCACATGTTTGTTCACCCCCTCAAAGAAGACATAAAAAGACACATTACGATTGGTTCCAGACTACATCCCAAAAAAATTTTTCACCAGGAGAGAAAGTACTCAGTTGAACAATTATTCAAGGGAAGTGTGTCTGACCATGGCAGCGAGCTATCTAGAATGAGACATCTGGTCTATATCTCTGCCTTAGGTTGGGGCCTGAGGATCCCCTGGAATGACAACTCATCTCCAGACCACAGCGGTCAGTCCTGCTGGAGAAAATGGATGTTTTGGAGGCTGGACTCTATGGCATTGCACCCCACTGAGGGCCCTCCCCTCCCTAGGCTCCACCCCCAAATCCCCAGGAGATTCCCAACCTGGATCTGGCCATCTTACCCCCCAAAGCCCTGCCAGTAGCCAGAAGGGACCTGGCAACCCTAGCCTTAGGTCACAGATAATGATTACAAAACATTCTTCACCTTGATCTAAGCTTAAGAAATGATTGTGCTGCTGTGATGCCTGAAGCCATTCTGTAACAGCATCGGTTTACCCCTGATGAAGGACATTTGGTCAGGGTCAATAATGGTCTATCTTTGGGGTTAATGTAGAATTTTATTCTGAACTGAGGCTATTACTTGGGCTATTTGCTGTTATTGAATTTGTAATGAATACGTGCATATTTTCCATATATTTGGTAATATTTATGCTTCAAGTTTATTCACAGAAATATTGAGCCCAAATAGTCGGATTTCCTTCACCTTTTGGTTCTTAACCCAGGGCAAGATGTCTGTCCTGAGCCAGTTTTGTGTAGTAGTTAGCAACACGAACTCTAATCTGGGAGAACCGGATTTGATTCCCTACTCCTACACATGCAGCTGCTGGTGTGACCTTGGGTCAGTCATAATTTCTTTCAGAGCTGTTCTCTCAAGGGCAGTTCTCAGGAGTGCTCTCTCAGCCCCACCAACCTCACAGAATGTCTGTTGTGGGCAGAGGAAAGGAAGGAGATCGTAAGCCATTCTGAGACTCCTTCAGATAGTGAAGGGCAGGTATAAATCCAATCTTCTCCTCCTCCTCCTCCTGCTGTCACCTCCACTTCCTTGGATGGCTGGGAGTGAGCTGAACCCCTCAGGTGCTTTGGCATTCTCTTCATCTCACTGTCCCAAGCAGTTGTTTGGGTGTTTCAGTCAGAGAACCAGCTCTGTCTAAGTTGGGGGAAAACAGCAGTGATGAAGTCATAAGATCACTTCATGGAAGGGTCTACTGTGACTTGGTTGACCAGTAGGTTCGAGCCTGATGAAATAAAGCAGCTGACAGAATCTGCTGCTACAAGATGTGATTAAAAGGTGTTTGTTTTTTTTAAGGAGTAGAAAAATTCATCAATGTTTACTATCAATGTCGGCTAAAAGGAACACCTGTGTATAGAATAGAGATGCCAGCCTCCAGGTGGGACCTAGGCAGGCCCGTAGCTAACATGGGGCCCACGGGGCCTGGCCCCCTTGTGTTTCTTCTGGGCCCCCTCCCTCCAGGGCTGCTCCCAAAGTGCTCCAATTTACCACCTGCACTGTACTTCCATTTAATTAGCTGGCGGGCCCCCCCAAGGCCCCCTCCCAAAGAATTCCCTAGCTACGGGGCTGGACCTGGGGATCCCCTGGAATTACAGCTCATCTCCAGACTACAGAGACCAGTTCCCCTGGAGAAAATGGTTGCTTAGGAGGGTGGCCTCTGTGGCATTATACTCTGCTGAGGACCCTGCCCTCCCCAGCCTCCACCCCCAAATCTCCAGTTGTTTCCCAGCTTGGAGGTGGCAACCCCAGTATGGATGTCCAGACTAGTTCAATCTTGTCAGAGCTCGGAAGCTAAGCAGGGCTGGCCATGCTCAGTACTTCAGTGGGAGGCTACCAAGGAAGACCAGGGTTGCTATACAGAGGCCCCGGTCACACGGCAAAGTTGCCGCGGGAGAGGCACGGAAGGTGGGCGGATTATCCGGGCGCGATCACACCCCAACATCTGGGAAGTGGAGTGCACCCGTGGCTTACCGCCGACAATGCGCATTTAAAAACTAGTACCTCCAAGGTATTATTTATTATTTATTTATTTAATTCAATTTATACCCCGCCCTCCCCGCAATGCGGGTATTAGTAAACGTTTGCCATGGGCTGCCTCCATACGCCCGTGGTATGATCGCGCCGGCACGCAGCATCCCCCTCTAGTGCCTCGTTTACCCGCTGGCACCAAGGGAAGGACCCGTGCTGTGCCCCCGGCACATCTGATCGCGGATCAAACTGCGCGGGGGAATTAGCCACGCCTCCCCCCACCCGCGATATCCGGCCCGTGTGCCCGGGGCCAAAGGATGACAATGGCAAACTACCTCCACCATCTCTTCCCTTGAAAACCCCATGAGATTTGCCATAAACTGGCTGCAGCTTGATGGCACATTTTACCTTTATGTACAGAAGCAGTGCTCCACAGCCCCCAGACATGGGGTAGAGACAAGTGGGGAGCCGTGGCACCATTTCAACAGCCTCTTTATGTTCTGCATACTTCATGATTCCCTAAGACCAAAATAACCTTTACCTGGATAGCCCAGGCTAGTCCAAGCTCATCAGATCTTGGAAGCTAAGCAGGGTTGGCCCTGGCTAGTATTTGGAAGGGCAATCTCCAAGGAATACCAGGGCCGCGACGCAGAGGCAGGTAATGGTGAACCACCTCTGAAATGTCTCTTGCCTTAAAAACAAGTCTAGTTTGCCACCTAGTGGTGCATAACACTAAAAAAGCTAGAACTTCTGGCTGCCAGACAGTCTCAGGATCTCCTAAATATACTACACTGCTATATGATAATGATAATGATAATAATTAGCTGTTTTGTCATGTATCTCAGCACATTTAATAGTCACAACAGGTTATAACTATTTCTTTCCAGCAGAATATTAATCCCACCCTATTAAGTTGCACTACTTGCAACTGTAGCGAAGAAAATTGGTGCTAGTTGTTGGGGAAAGTAGGAGTGGTTTATAAAGATTTTAAACTTTTTAAAAAATAAAGCTGATTTGATATTATTTGATAGATGGAGGATTGTGTTTATGGGTTCTTTATCTGAAAATGTGCATGTTCAATAAGAAAACATGGATGTGAATTAGTGTGTGATCCCCACTGCAGTGCCTTGGAGATGCCTGCCTACTTGTTCCCCAAAGCAAATAGCCGGTCCTGTCATTACTCCAACTCATGAAATGGATGAAGTGTTTTAAAACAAAAACCAGGAGGCATCACCTTTGGATCTTCAGGGAGCACCCATTTGGAAACAGCTGGCCCAATTAAAGAAGGAAGCTTGTCTTAGAAACTCACAACATTTTGTTGCCGCTGTCCCTGTGGCAGCCATTTTGTACTGGTCCTGCTTCTCATGGCAGCCATTTTGTGATAGCATCCACTACTCTTCCTTAAAATCCCTAAAGTGCCCACAGGCTCAACAGGCCTGACGACCACTAAGGTACATTATGTCCACTTACCAAAGCGTAGCCAACAAAGAATATCTCACTGTACAGGATTTTAAAATATGTTCAATACTCTTTACACACAGCATTTCAATCCAGATGGTAAACATATGTCGCTTTCTCTTGCACAGAAACTGGAAAGCCAGCATGCAGAATCAAACTTCTGTGGCTGAATTCTTCCTACTGGGTCTCTCCAAGAGCCTGAAGATCCGTCTCATTCTCTCTGGATTGTTTTCTGTGGTCTACATCATCACACTGGCAGGCAATGCAATCATACTGATGCTCATTCAGTTGGATTCTCGACTTCATACTCCCATGTACTTCTTCCTGGGTCAGCTCTCCTGCGTGGACATCTGCTACACTTCCAGCACTGTCCCTCAAATGCTGACTAACCTCCGGCACCCAAGACAACCCATCTCACTGATCGGCTGTGCTGTTCAGATGCATGTTTTTCTCACGTTGGCTATCACCGAGTGCATTCTGCTCGCTGTCATGGCTTACGACAGGTATGTGGCAATATGCCGCCCCTTGCACTACACGTTCCTCATGAACAAAAGAGTGTGTTTCACACTCGCTCTTACAGCCTGGGCTAGTGGTCTTTTGTTGCCAGTAGTACACACTTCCCTCATGTGGCACTTGCCATTCTGCGGTCCCAATCAAATCGACCACTTCTTCTGCGAAATGCCAGCAGTGTTGAAGCTGGCATGCACCAACACTAGGACTGTCGAAAATGTCACTTCGCTGGGGTGCGTTTTCACCTTGGTCACTCCCACCTCCTTTATCATGATGACTTATGTCCGGATCCTGAGAGCCATCTTCAAAATGAAATCAGCCCAAAGTCGGGGCAAAGCGTTCTCCACGTGTGGCTCCCATATTACTGTGGTGGTGCTCTTCTATGGAAGCGCCATGTTTATGTACATGAGACCCGCATCCAGCCGCTCACCCGAAAAGGACAAAATAGTCTCTCTCTTATACAGCGTCATCATCCCCATGTTCAATCCCTTGATATACAGTCTGAGGAACAAAGATGTAAAAGGGGCCTTGATGAAAACACTGCAGCGTTGCAGAGTTTCTTGACTGAGAAAATGGTTGTATGGTTGGGCAGGCTACCTTGGCTTGAATAGCATGGACCGGGGCAGGTTACAATGCAATTCAGTTTTCTGAGTCTATTGACTTCAGTGGACTTAGTAGGTTGGCTAGAATGGCCATTGGCAAATGTATAAAAATGAGAATAAAACAAGACATCTCCATCACACCCCAATTATGGCCTACTCTTCCCATTTGTTTTCCATTCCTGTAGTTTGCCGGGGTTCAAAGAAGACAGGACATAAACAGTTTCTGCAGAAAGCTGACTGAATGAATGAATCTTTGAATGAATCCTCTCACTCACCAGCTATATTTATTGAAAATCCGTCTCCTCCTTTCCCCCTCCCTTTCATTCATTACAGCATCCTGTTATTAGACATGAACTAAGGAATGTGTGTGTGTGTACAGACAGCTGTCTGCTATCTCTCTCTCTCTCGCAACTCTGCCAAGGCCAAACCGACTGCATCATTAAGCAGTAATCAGATTCCATCTGGGGCTCTCAGTACGTATATACATTTGGGTTCCCAATCTCCAGCCAGGAGAACAGGAGAGCAGTGAATTCTTCACTGTGCCTACATGTCATCCCTTTTATTGTTTTAATGTGAAAATCCCTTTGCCAAGGTAGCTTCTCACGATGAACTCAGCACATCAGTAGATGTTTCTGCCTTGTGCAATACCTGATACCTGGGTTCCCAATTTCCAGGAGAACAGGCAGGAGAACAGTGAATTCATTCAGGTTTGCCACGCAGATGTCTGCACTGCTCTCCTACACATTCCACTGTTATTAGGGTTGCCAGCTCCAGATTGGGAAATACCTGGAGATTTGGGGGGACAGGGCCTGTGGAGGGTGGGGTTTGGGGAGGGGAGGGACTTCCATGGGGTATAATGAAGAAGAAGAAGAGAAGATGAGATTGGATTTATACCCAGCCCTTCACTCAGAGTCTCAGAGAGGCTTACAGTCTCCTTTCCCTTCCCCTCCCTACAAGACACTTTGTGAGGCAGGTGGGGCTGAGAGCACTTTCTCAAGGACTGCTCTTGAGAGAACAGCTCTGAGAGAGCCATGACTGACCCAAGGTCATCCAGCCAGGTGCAAGAGGAGGAGGGGGGAATCAAACCTGGTTCTCCCAGATTAGAGTCTGCACCCTTAACCACTACGCCAAACTGGTTTACAGTCCACCATCCAAAGCAGCCATCTTCTCCAGGTGAACTGATCTCTGTTGCCTGGCGATCAGTTGTAATCCCAGGAGAACCTCCTGGAGGCTGACAGCCCTAGGCATTATATACTTCTGCACTGCTTCTCCTCTGTCATAAGAACCATAGTAAAGGTAAAGGTTCCCTTGCTCGAAAGCCAGTCGAGTCCGACTCTAGGGTTGCGGTGCTCATCTCCGTTTCAAAGCCGAAGAGCCAGCGCTGTCCGAAGACGTTTCCGTGGTCATGTGGCCAGCATGACTAAACACCGAGGCGCACGGAATGCTGTTACCTTCCCACCGAAGTGGGACTATAAGGTAGGCCTTATGATTACAGGAAGGATGAAAAGTTACCTTTTCACTGTTCTTTATGAGAGCTATTCCTGGCTATTAAGTGGTCAGTGGGTGTAACCACAGGTGGGCACTAAACAACACCAGTTGAATGGCGGCGGCGGCGGCAGTGCAAAAATGGTAGGGTGGCCAATTCAGGGTTGAGAAATTCCTGGAGATTGGAAGGCAGATCCTGGGTTGAGCAGTGTTTGGGGAGGGGAAACCCTCAAGTAGGTTACAATGTCACAAAGCACACCTTCCAAGGCTGCCATTTCCTCCAGGGAAACTGAACTCTGTAGTCTGGGGATCAGTTACAGGGTCATTTCCTGCAGGAGCACACAGGAACGGAGCTCCGGCAGTAAAGAGCCCAGGGGGCGGGCACATGAAACAAGCCCCACCTCTTGCTCCCAGCAGCCCTCAGTCAGAGCAAGAAGCAGCCTGGTAAGCTGCAGAGCCCCCCCCCGGGCCCCCGGTCCAAAATAGTCCAGTGGCACCTTTAAGACCAAGTTTTATTCAGGTACAAGCTCTCTCTCCTCTGCGAGGACAGATCTGCACGCCCCCCCCCAATAGCTAGCAATCCAAAACAGTCCAGTGGAGCCTGAGCGGTGGATGTTGCCTTCTGACACACTTCCGGTGATGTCAGGGGGTGTGGCATATGCAAATGAGTTATGCTAATGAGCTCCTGCACCTCTTTTTCTACGAAATGACCCCTGATCAGTTGTAATTCTGGGGAAACTCCAGGCCCCACTTGGAGGGTGGCATCAAGCAGGAAGGGCGTCCGCTCACCCTCCCTCTCTGCACCTATCATGCTGCTGTTGCCCTCTCCCTCTCTGTCTCATGGCACCTGCACAAACACAAAAGTGGTTTTACCCGGACCCCACCCACCCCAGTGACCCCAGCCCCCCGTTTCCCTTTCCCTATTTTTCCCTACCAAGCTGATTCAGCAGAGAAAAGGAGAGGGGGACAGGGCTCAACAAGAAGTTGCCCCCAAGCCACTCTGGAAGTGCCCACCTCCCTTTGGAGGCGATGGAGGGAGTGTCCGCATGGGCACACACCCCTCCCTCCTTTCCTTCTGCAGATTCTCTTCTGGGCCAATGTATAACAGTTTTATTTTTCATCTGGTTTAAAGGGGAAGAAGAAGAACAGTAGGTTTTTATACGTCGCTATTCTCTACCTTAAGGTGTCTCAGAGCAGCTTACAATCTGTAGATATAAAGGTCACTGGCAAACCTAATTAACAATATTATTTTTACTCAAAATACAAACAAAGGCAATTGAGTCCTAGCAGTGAAAGCAATTGGTTTACTGGGGAACCCACTAACGCCCCAATAAACTGATCTAATGGGTGGGAATTACAAGGGAGTCGTTACCGGCTAAATATCAGGAGAAACCTCCTAACTGTAAGAGGGGTTGAGCAGTGGGACAGTCTGCCTCGGGAGGTGGTGGATGCTCCTTTGCTGGACATTTTCAAGTGGAGGCTGGACGACCATCTTCCGGGTATGTTGTAGGTATGTAAGGCTATCTTTCAGCTATGCTCCTGCAGAGTGCAGGGGGTTGGACTAGATGACCTGCAAGACCCCTTCCAACTCTAACATTCTGTGATTTTATGATTCTATAAACGTATTTAATCATACCAGTTGCTTGAGGGCCAAGTATGAGCACAGGATGGGCTGGTTCCAGCCCCCGGGCCTTGTGTTTGACACCTCTCCTGTAGAGTTTTCCTAGAACTGCCATAAAATGCTTTGAGAATGCTGATTAATGCCCTTACACTGCTATCAGCTACACCCTACTAAGCCCACAGACTTTCTAAAAGGAAGGACAGGATGATCCGGCGGGGGGGGGGCATAGAGGAAGGAATTTAACCCTATCTCAGCCTTCTGTTTCCTTATTCCAAATCACTCCAAGCTGCTTTCCCTTTCCAATACTTGGAGCACGAACAGGACAAAATCAGCAGTGTGTGTGTGTGTGTGTGTGTGTGTGTGTGTGTGTGTGTGTGTGTGGCTTAAAAAGCGATGGGTGGGGAACAGGTTAAGCCTCTCTGCTTCAAATGGTCTCCTGCCAAAAGTTGTTTTTCCCCCTAGGAAAATCAGCCTGGAGGCTTCTGTTACAAATATATGCAAAGGTAAGATGTATAGCCCTGACCTTGGATAGCCCAGGTTAGCCCAATCTCGTCGAATCTCGAAAGCAAAGCAGGATTGGCTCTGGCTAATATTTGGCTGGGAGACCTCCAAGGAATACCAGGGTCATGATGTGGAGGCAGGCAACGGCCAACCACCTCAGTTTATCTCTTGCCTTGAAACCCCTACTAGGTCACCCTAAATTGGCGGTGACTTGACCGCACTTTCCTCCACCACCACCATCACCAAGGTGTATATGCTGAAGAGTGAACACAGATCAAAGTCCTTTTCCATACATGGGATTATAGAGTAATAGTGTGCCACAGATCCTGTGTAGTGTGGTTTTTAAAATGTCGAACTAGGAATGTGGGAGACATGGGCTCCAATCCCTGCTCTGCTGTGAAGCTCCCTGTTTAAGCTTTGTTGTTGTTCAGTCGCACAGTCAAGTCCGACTCTTCACGACCCCATGGACCAGATCACGCCAGATGTTCCGGTCTTCCGCCGTCCTCTGAAGTTGGCTCAACTTCATGTTCGTTGCATCTATGACACTGTCTAACCATCTCATCCTTTGCCGTCCCCGTCTTCTTTTTAAGATAGATACCAGGTTAATCAGAAGAATGGTTTCAGCAGGCTGTGGTATCTACAGTGGGACTACCTGGTAGAGGAAGGCCACTTTTCGTCTGCTAAAGGTACCAGCATTATACATAGCATGTCTTGACTTATACTCAAATTTGTATTCATAAGCAGATCAGTGTAATAGCTATAGAGAGGCAGGTGAGGCTCTTATGGACAGTTTATCCTCATCAGCAGTGCCATGTCTGGAGTCCACACCAGCAAGGCAAGCATATAATTAGGGCTGCCAGCTACAGCTGGCAGAAATTGGGGAATGGGGACAGGAGCACCAGCATCACACCAGCATGAGGTGTCACTAATGACAAAAACTGAAATTGATGTCATGATGATACTCTAGAATCTGCCAAAAACTCTATGAGTAAACCATAGACATTTGGGTGAAAGTCACCCGAAATGTAATTATGTTACTTCCAGCAAAACATGGAAATGATGCCAATTACATTAAGGGGACACTCTAGGATCTGCCCAAAGCTCTGGTATTGCCCCCAATGTAATCACTTTTGGCTTTCTCAGAAAGTGACTGCTACGACAGAGAGGTACAAAATGCCTCCAGGTACACCTGGGAGACCCCAGACTTAGAGAAGAACGTTTTTCCTCTGGGACCAGGGTTATAAACTGTTCGAATTGCTGGCCCAGATAAGTTTCCTGCTGCCACGAAGGAGCAAGAAGGGATAGGTATTTGGTGCTTTTTGAGGGGTTGCTATTTTTGTATTTGCATGTGTGTG